TTCATCTCGTCGTACGGTTATAAACCCTATAAGTTGGAAAAACAGAAGAAAGCTAAACTTGGGAAATATTTATTTTTGATTTCACCCCTTGATCCTTTAACTATTTTCATTAAAAACATATAATTTGTTAGAGATCACAGCAATTGATGCGCTATGATTGCCAGGCCGATTATTATTGATTCATCTCACTTTGATTCATCATTCTTTGCAATTATCCAAACACATACAAAGGTGAGGGGTATCTAAGATGCATTTTAAAATGAATATTTATTTCTTCAGTTTCTATTCTTAGAACAAAAAAGGAAGAATATTAGAAATATATTAGTTACAGACACTAGCATAACTAAAGTTAATGAAAATGTCAATTCTTTTTAAGGCACTCACTTCAAATAATATGTTAACCAAAATCTTTCAGAAGAAGAACGCACAGCATGTAATAAATTTTAAAACTTTCAACTTAATTATGTCGATACATAAAAGGGATTATATTAAATTCGTTCGAGATTAGGTGAATGTGTAGGTAGATGAGGTATTTAGAGGAAAGAAAAAGACAAAAACTCCTTACATTCGTAAAACTATAATTTATGGCATCTCTAAGTGTGTATGAAAAAATGCAGCTTTTCTTTGCCTTGCTCACGGTCATCTCTCGCCCGTTTTCTTTTCTTGTTGTCTTGCTTGCTTGATAAGAAACTGAAGACAAATATGACAGCATCGTAAACATAACATATGTAATTTTCAGAATTTTCTACATAACCTTACCTAATATACATGATTTGATCGAGAAGCAACGAGAATCTTTTAATGCAATATAATACGAAGAGGAATACAATGCTTACCTACAATATTTATTGTATTCCTACACGCATATCCACTGACGCAACTTCTATGATTATTATTATTATAATTAATTTAGTCTGAGAACAAATTCTAAGATGAAAGTCTTAAACCACTACTATCTAAGCCTATCGGCTTTATTTAAAACGATTCGAATCCACGACCATTGGGTATTAATCGGGATTTTTTGCCTACTCGGCCTATTCAGGGGGATGACACAGTTTTAATTTGGTATACACTGATGGAATTCGTTTTCACTTCTAGCAATCGATGTTGTCTTTATCCTATTCATTAGTAAAAAAAGGTTGCCATTCGAATATCTAGCCTCTCATGTACGTGCGCCAAACTTTGCTTTTGCGTTTTTGTGGATTTTTGGATTCTATTTCGGAAAAATGTAAGGCTTAGAACGAACACGCACAAAAGGAAACGGAAAAAATATATCGCAAGTGTCAATACGAATCGTTAAGTAAAAATTTTCGTTTGTTGGTTTGTCCATTCTCACATCGTTAGGAACCTCTCTATTGCGAGGAGTAACAACTAAAAGCTGAATTTTGCATGCATATGACCTTCCAAAAGTTGGCATCACTTCAAACTCGCTACCATTTTGCAGCATTTGTCAACATGCCCCCAATTGTTGCGAGGAGTTATGACAAGCAAAAAATTTAGAGGTTTTCAGTTATATTCACAAGGTTTTAATAAACATTTTCTTAAAAATTGGGACCAATTTTTATCTGCATAGGCACATAAGCGTTCAAAGTTTTCGTGTTTGGAGCTGCGCAATTAAAAGAGAAATGGATTCTTCCCCTAACTAGTGCGTACAGAAACACTGCGACTCGATTGTTTGGCTGGCAATGGACTTGTTACAGAATTTTGTTGACTGACAGTTTTCGGTCTTTAATTAGTGCAATGTATATGCACGACGTTTATTTTCGGCACGATGATCCCACTCGCCGAAAGGCCTACGAAACAATGACTAGGCTGTTCGGTTGATTTAAAAAAACTCTTCTCGTTGCAAGACCATATCACGTTTATTGTAGATCATATATTCTTAGCTAATGGCTCGCGATTAAGTCTAGAAAGGGATTTCGCCTATCAATGATGAAAGAAGGATGAAAAAATCGCCAATTAGCAACTTGGAGCAAATTCCATTCCATCCATTTGTTATAAGCTTATTAGAAGTTTAGTTAAAAGTGATGATGAACGGCTACCGGTTTCATTGCTTGCCAGGCAAAAAAGCAATGCCAAGCGAAAAAAATCCTTGGGTTAGTCCAGCAGAGCCATCCACTAAAAGGTAATGAAACTGTTAGTGGGGATGCCTATCCATGGCAATTAAAGAAATTGAACGATGGATTGTTGCACAAAAGATCAGCATTAGCTGTTAACAGATGCAAAGTCATCTTCTTGCATGACAACGCTCGGTCACCGGTCGCAAGAGTTGTCAAGGATATCCTGTTGCATCTCGAATGAGGAGTCCTGCCGCATCCCGCGTGAACTCGCTAGCAATACTGCTTTGTGATTGCCACTTGTCCAGACCGATGCAACATGGTTTAGCTGTCTGGTTGGCCGTTTCGAAATGTTGAAGAGGTGCAACGAGATGTTGATGGTCCAGACCAATATCGTTCTTTCGACATGGTGTTGCGATAAGGCCTCAAAGATGGGAAAAAGTTTTCGAATATCATGGAAAAAATGTTCACAAAAATATATATTATTGTACAAAATATTTCTCAATAAAACTCTTTTCATGTGAAAAAATTATCAAAATGCATGCACGAGAGCCTAGTACTATAATCCTTTAAATTAATGCAAAAAAAGTATTTTAATGCATTTTTCGTTATTTTGCGAATACGTTTAAGTGATTTAAGTGAACTTATTTATATTCCTCATTAGTAATTCAGCAATTGCAGCAAAAACAACAAAATCGAATAGAGGTAGAAAGACACATTGAAAATTATTATTTTAATTATCATATAATTTGTGTCTCGAACAGAATAAACACACCTTTGAGCAATTTTCAGAAAACTCCCATACCCGTTGGCCCCCCCTTTGTTTTTTGTAGCACAAGGAAGCACAAGTGAGTGCATATACATGTAAGCACAACAACAAGCCCTTCGCATAACAATTACAACAAAAGTACAATAATAACGTTAACTTCAAAAATAATTTACCTTTAAATTACGACTAGATAACATTAGGGAAAGAATAAAGAGAGAGGAGCCAGGCAGAGAAAGGAGAGAGAGAGCGCAATTTTGCCTTTAACGAGTTGATGGGTGAACCGGGTGAAATTTCAAGCGTAAATATAGTGGGGCAGTAGTAGCTTCAGCACTTATTTGATATGCGTACATAATTCAAAGTATGTGATGTAGGTTTGCGCTTGTGTTTGTGCCTATGCAAGGTTTCATTGTAATTATCATGTTGCCAATGTTACTTGTTATTGTGTGCATTCTACAAGCATACACACCGTACTACAAGTCCGCGTCTCCATGTAACCAACCAAGTTTTATATGCTAATTTCGAGTATAGCAGGGAATAAAAACAACAACAACGTTAACGATGACAGTAAGAACGACGAAATGTTTGTTACAACAACTACTGCTACGAGTATCCACGCGGCTGACTAAAACCAAAAAAAAAATAAATAAATAAATAAATAAACCGAGACAAGTAACCAAAGCAACTAAACACTCAAACCATTCTCGGTAACTAAACACAATGTCTGCTACTTTGACTGTTTTACGTTTGCTTGTCTGCCAACTTGCCTGCCCGTGTGCTTCGCTTGCTTGTTTGTGCTTTTTTTTTGCGTTTTTGTTTAACGTAGTTGTCTCTAATGTCGTCTATGTTTCATCATTATGTTTAACCATCATTAAGTAAGTTTAACGTAGATAAGTTACACACATGCAAGCAGGTAGCCGTCGTCTTATTGCCAAGAATTTTAAAAAGGATTTTAAAAAAGTCTTCGAAAATGCTCTAAATTTGATAAATATGTTAACAAATTCCGTTTTCCGCTTATATAAATTTCAAACTGCTCATAACGATGTTGATAGTGCTTTACTCCTTTATTTAAAAATTTATTAATTCAAAAAAGTTCCCTTTGTCAATAACGTAGTAACTGCTCGTAGTGGAGTAGAGAGGGAGAGACAGAGAGAGAGAGAGAGAGAGAGAAGCAGAAAAACTTACAGTCTTATGTTCTTAATAATGAATGTAGAAAAAATAATAAAAAAAAAAAATAAAAAACGAAAGGAAGAACAGTTTCGCTCACCGTTCGACGTCAACATCAAGCAAAATGTAAAGCATAATGCATGAATGAATGAATGAATGAATGAATGACTGCATTAATATTGAATGAATGCTTTGCCAAACGAGTCTAACTGACAGACAAACAAACTGACTAACTGTCTATCTATCTATCTAGTCAAGTAAAGTAAATTGAAACAGTTGGCTTCTATGTTTACCCGTAGCCAATAGATACCGACCGGCATACATATGTAGTTTTCAAAATATACAAACAAATGTACATGCTTACGTTATATTGAACACCTAAACGGCTATGTTTAAACTGCAGCACATTGAAAGATATCATCTGTATGGAATATGGTCGTGTCGTTTTGTCGTGTTTGACGTATGTATTCGAAAAGACATTCATTCACTCACTCTCATTCAATCGTTTACTTACTTTTACCGCCGTTTTCTCTAACCATTCGCACGTTTTTCTTTTCCTTTTTTTTTCGTAAATAAATGAATGAAAGTGTAAAGAGAGGGGGTTGTTCAGGCGATCGATGGTCTACGGTCTTTCCCAATAATAATAATAATAATAGCAATAATAGTAATGTTTGTCTTTCTTTTTCTAATAATTTGCTTAACATGCTTATCAATTATTATGATTTTGTCATAAAATGTTGTTGAACATTAAACGTGACTCGCATAATTTTTGCATATTTTATGACAGACGGACATAAAAAAAAATTCTTTAAGTAATTATCTCGGTAATTGTCTGAAATAAAAATGCGTTCTTTAACATAAAGCTTTAAAACGAATTAAATGCTTTTTCCTTCTATATTATTTTACTCTAGTTTTAGTGATAAAAATTTTTTGGCGAAAATGAGAAAAAATTTTTAATTTTTATTTAATTACTGCTCTTTCTTAATTTCTTGTTTTCTCTATATTTTCAGCTCAATATCAATCGCCTCGCATAATTGAGCATCCAACTGATTTGGTGGTGAAGAAGAACGAACCTGCCACATTAAATTGCAAAGTTGAAGGGAAACCGGAACCGACAATTGAGTGGTTTAAGGTAAGTAACACTGATAAAAGAACTATCTATGCATGCAGCTGATAGATCATGGGATGCAGACAAAACGACCGACGACACGACAAAGAAAATCAAAAAGACAAACCACACCTTTGAGAATTGATTGTACGAGAGAATAAGAATCAGCTATAAACGCACCTTTTATGCCCAGCATTTTTTCTTGAAAAACAACATTACAAGAAGATCGCAAAAGAACGATTGAAATTTCGATGCTCTGTTAGATTGGTTGAACGTGTGTCTGAGTTTTTTCCATTGTTGTATCATGGACTATACATTGGACGAGAATATATTTATGGTCATATTGGTTGTTGTTCGTGAGTAGTAGCAGTGTACCTTGCACTGTAAGCATGTGCGGCATGACGACATTGCTATGAATTGCTAGAATTTTCTTCCGACCACGAATGCTGAAAAAAACGAAATCTTTCGAAATCTGTGAAAAATATGCAACCATATGGCCAAAGAGATATCTTCTTCAAGAAGTCACTAAGTTCAGCTTACCGTCTTTTCACTTCTACGCTTTCTTGTCCTATTAAGAGGAAAAAATTATAAAGCGCACGCATTAATTCGTATTCTTTCGTGAGAGCTATCTGTACGCTTGAAAAGTGTTCTGTATTACTTACGCTACCCTTATGTTTGATGACTACCGTAATGGATGCAATAAATTTAATATAACATAATACTTTGGACTTTTGCTTAATAGACAAAAAGAAATTATTTTAAAGAAATTTTATCGACAAAAGAAAAGGAGAGAAAAATATTTTTAAATTTATTACTGAGATCGCTGTCGTGCACCAATAAATTTTATTCAATGCTGAAGAAGAAGATATCATAAGAAATTATACGAAATTATTTTTTCTCAATTTTGTCTATTTTTGTGTTTTTTTTTTTTTTGTTTGTACTTATTTCAATTGCAGGACGGTGAACCTGTAAATACCAGTGACAAAAAATCTCATCGGGTTCTATTTAAGAATGGTGCCCTATTTTTTTATCGCACTATGCAAAGTAAAAAAGAGCAAGATGGCGGCATTTACTGGTGTGTAGCCAAAAATCATGTTGGAAAAGCTGTGAGTCGTCATGCGACTCTACAAATCGCTGGTAAGATTGTAATGAAAAACGTATACATGTAAAAAGACATATGCAAAGCACGCATCTACACATCTACATATGCAAAATCTTTAACACCTCATAAAAGTGTGTCGTTGAAGCGTTATAAATATTACGGCTTTTATGTGCGAAGAAACGGCTTTAGAAAAAGGAAAAATATTTTTGAGAAAATAAAAAAAAAAAAAACACAAATTTTAGCGAATTCACGCATTTGATCGTAAATCTATCATTGAAGCTTTTGGATGTCAACATCAATTGTCGACTCTAACAGCGATTTTACCATTGCCGAACATGTTTTTCTACAACAATGCCAAACAAGCGAATTGTAAATAAAAAAATTGCCAAACATAAAAATAGCTTAAGTTGAATATTGAGCATCTGCTTAAGTGAAATAAATATTTGTTAACCCCTAAACTTTGCTTTATATGGGATTAGTTGACACATCTACAGCGTAAGAGCATTAGAAGACTCACTCGCACTCGAATTGAGGTTTTGGCAAGATTTGAACCTTTTGTTCGGCATACTTTGCTGTTCGGCTTGAAATTTACTAATAAACTGAAGACTTCGTGGGTCGAGACAGCTCTTGAGCTATCAGCAGTTGGTCGATTTCTAGCTATTTTCCTATATGATTTTAGAGGTCAAATCCCGGGCATATGAATTTAGCTTAAAAATTTTTTTACAGATTTTGAATCTCCTACTTTGGACAGAGTGTGGGGTATCTTCTACGTCCCATATGCGGTTACGTTGAACGCCATTTGAGGACTAGTGCCCAAAGTTGTGAGGACGAGAGCGATTTTAGGAAATCTGTCCCTTTTTTTGTAATTTCATCTCGATATGCATCTATAGACCGGAGTAACCAAGTCCGCAAAACAAGCCAGCGTTCATTGCACAAAAATCATAGCACAGGCGATGGAGTTTGGAAAATCTGTCAGTTTCCAAGTATTTCTCGTAGTATTTACCGCTTAAGGGAAAGGTTTTCAAACGTATTGCTAAAAATCGAAAAAAGTTATATGTGAGCGGCTAAAGCGCAAGTATTTGAATAACGCATACAGATATTAAATAGTCGGGAGAAAGCTAATAGTGTGAGGCTATTGTTTCATTCTGGCCTGCCAGGCATAATGTATGCGTGCAATTGTTTGGCATTGTCCTATTGTCCTATTCACTCACCGGTTATCGCTTTGTATGTAGCGCTTATATTATCGGATGCTGTGAAATTAAGCAACAAAGCCAACCAACATAACATTGACAACTTCGGACGTAGTAGATAATATGTTACATAGACCAACAGATTTTGATATGTAAAGTAATTGACTTTAGTTAAGAAGCTTAGTTCAGGACGCGAACCAAGTTATTGATGGTGTGAAGGTGTTGACGCGATTTGAGGTGTTGACGATTGAATTAAACAGCTCGCTGTGTTTCAATACCGCTCGTATCAAATTCGCGCTCAAATGCTTCGTTATGGTTAATTAAATTTTCTGCTCGAAGCCTAGCGAATACAAAGACGCATGCTTTGCTTCGCTTAGATCTTTTCAATTTTAATCTTCAAAATCGCTGCAAAATCTGAAGAAGCGTCCGATGAAAATCCCAGGGCGTTTCCAAATAGTACGAACGAGGCAATGAACAGACTACACCACATACTTTCGGAGCTGCGTAAACAAAGTAGGGCACAATATCGAGAAAAAAAAAAACAATATTTTTTTTAAAGATTAGAGCGAATGTGCTTTGGGATCATTTAAAAATTTGTCGTTGTCTTCGTTATTATCTTTGTTGAGAGGGAGAGAGTTAAACATTTCATCAAGCAAATTAAATAAAAATTTTCATATGATTTTATAAACAACGAACAACTGCAAAAGCATGTCAAACTAATTGTACAGCATCTTCGAAAAACATTACTTACTAGGCTTTTGAAATTGTTCAAAATTAGCCGAGCACGCGGTGCTAAACTAAAGTGACAAAATGTGTGCATTGTAAAGATGTTTATGTTACTTACACTTTTGTTTATGGGCCTTGTATTAGCTTTTGAAATTCCATTTTTTTATTTTTGAAAGAAACGTGAGCACAAATTGTTGACTTTGTACACACGACACGACACAACAACACAGCAACACATATCATCGCACGGCACTCAGACAGTGCATAAAATAAGTTGAGTGGTTTAGTTTAACAAACCAAATACAAAAAATAAAAAATAAAAAATCAAAAGAAGAGGGCAAAAAAGCCCTTTTAACACTAATTGAAGAACGAGCAATAATAGCTGAAAGAGGAGGAAGAAGAGGGAAGTGTGCGGACTTTACTGAAAAGATCCGTGCGTTTGTCGCGATGGTAAAGATGGTGATGATGATGATGCACTTTTCAAAATGCTTGTCTTAGTTTAATCCAAAGCGTGAACAAGTTTTCTTTTTTTGTTTTAATTTTTTATTTCTCGTATGTTTTTCATTGTTGTTGTTGCTTTTTGAATTGTTGCTGATTGATAACACTGCGGGCGGTCGTTTCTTGTTTAAATAGGGCTTTCATTTAAAAAACGCAAGAGAAAAATGTCTTATTTTATTTATTTTTATTTACTTTATGTGTTAAAAGAAATTTTTTTCCTTGTTTTTTTTTTTTTCAATTTTCTTCTTCTTAACACTTAAGTACACTGCAAAGAAAAGCGGGTGTTCGATATCATTCGGATACATGCTTACCTTAAAGCATTTGCTGGCGAATTTTTTCTTTTTTCTTTTAGCTTAAATAATGACTTTAAAGGTACGTTTGAAGCTCCCCTGTAGTATAAGTATGTTTTTTTTTGTACGAAATATTTTCAATAAATTTTTTCAGTGTTTTAATATACGGCTAGTTTGCCACGTCTGGTGTAGAATTTCTTATTAACGTGATTGGCTTTCCTTGCTGCGTACTTAAGGCTGTTAGTTTTTCTTTTTAATAAGAAATTTATTATTTCCGTTTTATGTGAGAATTTCTAATAAATTGCAATTAACTGAATTAAAGATAAATAGCCGGAAATATCTTAATTAAGAGTTTAGCTGTGTCTCAAGCTAATTTCAAACTGAATGAAATAATAGTACAACAGAAATTTGTCTTGAAATAAAATATAATATTAAACTTGAATAAAAAATCTTATAAAATAAATGTTTTATTGGCGTGAAGGCGAACGGCCTCTCTGTCAATAAACTAATATCCACAATAAAAATTTCCGTTGTTTTAATAAAAGACGAAGCCAAGCACGCGCCATTTGTTTCTTTTGCTTTTATATTTTTATCTACCTGTGGCTGCAATCATATGAGAGACAATGCCTGCCAACTTTGAAAATGATTATAAATCTAATTTTTTATCGATTAAATATTAATAAAATTAAAAAGAGCAAAGAAGAAGACCCTCTAGGTTTTGTGTTTGGGTGGATTATATCAAAGGTCTTCGGAACTGTGCAAAAGAGGAAAATATTAATTATTTGCTAAAGTGAAGATATCGACAGCCCACATATTTTAGGGATCATGTCTTTGCTAAGATGCTGTTTATTGCGAAGTAGAAAAAAGAAACAAATAAAATAAATATTAAAATTAAAAAATATTAGTAAGCAAGCAAAAGATTTTAGCGTCCTTTACAACATGTATATCAAAGATCTGCGCTTGAGTAAATTCATTAAATATTTTTTAACGCATTTTGCATAATATAAATTTTCGCGAATAGCTTACGTACACTATGGTAAATAAGTAACAGTAAATCCCTTTTTCAATTTTTTATAACATATGATAACATATATGATTTTTTTCTTTATATGCGTTTGTATTTTCGATTTTTGATTTACCTTTTCCATCATATTGTTATTTTTTCCAAATCGTTCAATTATTAAATACCTTAGCAGAGGAGCGAACAAAGTGTGGAGCCAGCCCACCTACTAAGGAAGAACAAAAACCTGTGAGCTACAAGACAGTAATTGTTCATTTCTTTTAAAGTAATGTTAGATCCATCCAATGTTCGATAGAAGAAGTCTAGTCGCAGATGTGAATCAAAAAGGTCATTAATTCGCTACCTTTTCCCCCCGAAATCAATACATTATCAGGCATTTCAAGCAACGTTCAAACCAATTACCATTGGTGTGAAACAGTGAATGTGTGCTTTTGGATCGCGGAGATAAAGAACTTTATTCCCTTTCCGTGGCGCTGCATACTCTTTTCTGTAGAAACAAATTGTGGCTGAATTTGAGAGTCTAGCAACGGTGTCGGTACTATTTTTACACTTATCAAACTGTCCATTCAAAGATTCATCGACCTATTGGAACCTCGAGGCATCCAATAGACGAATGATTCGGTATTGCAAACTTCGGGAAGTTTCGTGGTAATTGTGGTTGTTGTCAAATTTCCAGGGTGGGCATCTAAATGCTTGGTCGTAGCACTTTTTACTGCGATTGCTTTAGCGTTATAAGGTAATCTGCTTGACTCAAGCAGTAAAAAATTTGTCAAACTCAAGAGTAAAACATTTAAATGCTTTAGTGCTATACGACGAAGAGCAAGTTCATCAAATTCGCGAGAAGATGAGATAGCATAGATGCTCCAAAATTTACGCAAAGTTTGTGCGATCAGCAACCTTAAAAATAAACTGTTTGACATCTGAGAGTTTATGGTTAGTAAGGATGGAACACTACCCGAGTGAGCAAAGCGTTTTTGTTGTTTAACACCATTTTACAAATGATGAAAGTTTGGTCATATTTCTTTGAAAAGGAGGCTAGAATTTGGATGGAAAGGGGATGATACTGACATGAACCACATGTGCTTTCAACGAGACGATACGACTTGCCACAGGTTCCATTAAACAATTCAATTGTGGATCGTGTATTCTCTCGCCTCAGTGATCAGCGTTTCGATAAAAGATCCAGCAAAACCGTAGTGATCAATTGCCCGATGTGCTATTCCGCACATAACCCTACGCTGTATACATTATGATTGAATGAAAAATTACTAATAAAAAATCTCTGCTTTGTCTTTAATCCAAATCTGGCG